TATATATATATATATATATATATATAGAGAGAGAGAGAGAGAGATAGATAGATAGATAGATAGATAGTAGCCAGTGAATTTATCATTTGATAATATGATAGAACTAAGGAATGTAGTTGGCTCAAGTACTTTCCATGGACGTATCAATAAAGCAATGAGAGGCTTGCCACATCCCGTCTGTGATAGAGGGGTTGCATGGTAGAAAATAATTTGTCACCCACAAGGACGCGGAGATGCCTTTGGACTCTATCGAGACCAGGTTGGAATTTGAACAATGGCAACAAGAACCTGAACAAGAACAAGAACAACAACAATAATAATAATAATAAGGAGCTTTTGTCATGAGGTTAACCTTGAATTTTTTTATAAGATTTTTCAGGTTTGAACTGGTAATAAAACACATTTTGTATCCAACATCACTTGCATAGCACTATTTGTTTTTCAGCATCGGCGATGAGACAAGAAGTGGCGCTTTGCAAGTAAATTTGGCCGTCAGCTAATCAACCACGGAAAAAGTAATTCAGGAATTTTTGTGTTAGGTGTGGTTACGAAACCTGTTTATCCGGGTATAAGAGGTAATTTCTTGGGAATCAACTTGAAGTAAACAGATATTTGGCCCTGTTTCAAGCCTCGTCTATTCTTCTTGAAATGATCATTGTAGATTTAAGCGACAACAGGAATGAGAGTTTAGTGATGGGACGAGCGAATAAAGTCAATTGCCAGAATAGTGAGGCTCGTTAAAACGTATTTAAAAAGGAGTTGACAGCTTTTTGTTTCACCACTGCACAAAAAAGATAGAATAAAGGCAAAAAAAAAAAAAATAATAATACACACGCGCGTTACACCAAACCACACACACAGATACGTGAATTTGTGTGTGTGTGCTAGAGTCTAATGATTATGACAGCATTTAGTTACCATGAAAAATATTTATATTGCAATATAGCCTTCTTCCTTGTCAATGCACTTAGTTCAATTTTACTCCTAACTACGAGCTTACTGATGTTCCATCCTATACAAACACACACACACACACACACACACACATATATATATATATATATATATATATATAGCCAGTGAATCTATCATTTGATAATATTTAGAAATTGTGGAAATGTTTAATAGAATAGTTAATATTTATACTTTTAAAACAAAGAAACCTTGAAAATTGCGGATAAGAATTCTAAAAATCGAGTAAAAAGACAAAATTCTGAAAAGTCGATAAAATTTGAATGTTTTTAACATCAAAACATTAAAAAAAATCGATAACACTAACGAAAATGCGTGTAGAATAAGTCCTCGGGTTACGACAATCTCGACTTATGACAATTCATGGTCACGACGCAGTCTCCATTAAAATTGTTTCGACTTTTGCCTCGTTTTTATGACGCAAGATCTTACGCTTCCTCATCTCATCTGCCGAGAGCCAATGACATCACTGACAATAAATATACAAGCAGCTTAAAACAATTTCATTTCATTAATTTATACATATTATTTTTCATTTAATTATATGTATTATATTTATGCCATCCATGTGTTATTTAGTCCTAGTTATGCTAACATATGTTATAGAAATACGTTGTTATATCCTAGATTATTATTTTATTTACTATTGCGTTGACATAGGTGAGTGATGTAAGTGCTTATTCACGGAAAATCACGCATACGTTCCGACTTACACGGAAAACCGCGTTACGACGCATCGTAGGTATGTAAGTTTATCGTAAGTCGAAGACTCCCTATATCTTTAAATGCGATTATTTTTATTTGGAGAGATCTTCTTGACTGACTAGGACTAGATATCAAAGAACCACGTTGATCATATATATATATATATATATATATATATATATATATATGTGTGTGTGTGTGTGTGTGTGTGAATGTGTGTGTGTGTGTGTGTGTGTGTGTGTGAAAATATATAGAAAATAGGAAAGAACTGGTTAGGTAAATAATACAAAGTTCTTTAGTATTTTTGTTATTATTTTTAAAAAATAGTGCTCGATACAAAAGTAGAGCATAAATATAATTATTTATTTAAAAATATGATTCCAACACGCACGCTACATAAGAGGTCTCATGTTTCAAAACAAGAGCCGAAAACTTCAGTATAATTATTTGAATTAAATTGAATTAAAGTAAGCTCTGTTCCATCTTCAAGCGGAATTTTTTTTGGAATAACTTATTTCTGAAATTTACGTGTTATAGTAGCATATTCATATATATATATATATGAATATCTCTATATATATATGCGATGGATAAAATGTCGTAAAAATTACACTAAAATGAAAGTAACACTGACATTTTATTTTAACAGATATATTTACCAAAATTACAAAAAATATCTTGAAATACTAAAGAGTAAATTTATTTAATAAAATCGCCATTAGCTTCAACCACAGCACCCAGACGACCTCGGAATCTCCTGCAAATTTTCTGGATGGTCTCCTTGTTTAAGATGGTGAATGCTTCCATAATCCTTGCCTTCAGTTCATCTTTGGTCTTACAAGGAGTTTTGGTGATCTCTCGCTCAACTGCGCCCCACACATAACAATCAAGGGGGTTGCAGTCTGGGGAGTTACATGGCTAGATGTAAGGGTTGTTATGGTCGCAGAAATTGTCTGACAGCCATGACTGGGCCCTCCTGCTTGTGTGGCATGGTGTAGAGTCTTGTTGCCAGACATTGGGTCTTCTAGCAGCCACCCTCTTGACTCAAGGCAGCGCTACCTCCTCAAGGCACTTGATGTAGGCCTCCCTGTTGATTCTGAGGCCATCACCCAGAAATTTGGGTGTTCTTTTCTTATCAGAACGATCAGAGTGATTTTTCCGAGCTGCCGTACCTTTGTAATCACCATTAGACTCATCCAACTGTTTCTCTGAAATGTTCGTTTTGGAGTTTCCGGCGGGAATATCAAGCAGTACAGCATACCGTTTCCAAATATCTGGCGGAGTCTTTTTCACAGAGACGGTGCCCAACTAACCCTGCAATATTGTGCAGTCGACAAAATCAAAAGCAAACAACGCGCATGCGCGAAATTGAAAATATAATTTGGCGACAATTTACCCATCGCACTCTGTATATATAATCTTATTTCAAATCTGAAAGAAGGATTTTAGTTATATCCGCGTATGTCAGGTATTTTACAAGTACATACCTGAGTTATAATAACAAGCAATGCTCTGGCCAGAATAACGTATTTTTCCCGAGTCAGTTAAGGTTACAATGTACATTACGTACATTAGAAACGGTTAAAAAAAACTTTTAAAATAACTTTTTAGTAAACTTTTAAAAAAGCTACTATTATTTTCTGTCCTTTATATTTTCATTTCATTTTAAAGCAAGAAATTTGTATTTTTGATTATATTCTCCTGAATGAAAACTTATTATTGTTATTAATATTATTATTACATCTATTTATTTGAAATGTTGGCATCTTATTGTTATAGTAACAACATTTCTCTCGTTGAAATCTCCAACCTTCTTCTTATGTATGTCATATTCGCTAAACTTTTCATAATTTCGAACCTAATCCTTTATTCTATTCACAGAGGTATACTTTTCTCATTCGGTTGTCTATGCTAAGGGAGATAACCCGTATTAATTAATTGTCTGTATTTCGGGTCGAAATTCCGGAAACTCACCGAATGCATGCGGAAACTGAAAAGTAAAATGGCCTAAAACGGTGTAATAATAACAAACAGAATAAGGATCCCGTTCATATAAACTAACATCTTAGAAAAGAAAAAAGAATAAAATCTTGCAAACATGGACCTCCGGGCACACACACAAAAAAACAAAAAAAACAAAAACAAAACGAAATGCCAAAAGAACGTTTTTTTCGCATGACATCACCTTTAGTTTAACTACCTTCACTCCTCGGCAATGTTTATTGTTTTAAAAAGCGATGATTAGAAATGTAATAAAACCTAAAAATATGAAAATAAATTTATACATTTTCTTTATTCTTGAGAGTAGACAACGAAGACAATAAACACATATTTACTTATAGATACAATATCTTTTTAATCATTTCACCACAAGCAATGTGCTAAACCCACTAAGATGCTAGGGGTTACGGAGTGTGAGAGAAAACATCGAGAAGATAGATAGATAGATAGATAGATAGATAGAGAGAGAGAGAGAGAGAGAGAGAGAACAAAAAAAAAACGACCACCGGTTTCAATTTTTAAGCAAGAAACCGGAAGAGAGTTCCACAAACGAGAAGTGCGACAGAATAAGCTATTAGAATAGAGCTTACGGTTACAATTGGCAATTTCAACAGCAAAATGCTGAGACCTAGCAGCCAATCTAGTGCCGCGCTTAAATTCATAAAGTCGGGTTGCAGAAGAGAAAAGCTCATCAGAAAAATTACAATGAAAATGTTTATAGAAAAGACACGGGGAAGCGACATTACGGCGGTGGATACGTGACTGAAGCCGAGATGCCAGTTCAAGACCCATGACATTGCAAACTTATCTTTGGAGTCTATCAAGAATCTCTAGATACATAGCAGAAGTGTGGAAGCAATATTCAAAGCACGGACGAATAGTGAACTTATAAAGATGCCAGATAGATTCTGGTGTGAAAAATTGTCTAGTACGAAACAGTGAACCAGCTTTCCTAGCTGCAGACCTAGTAACTGACTCAATATAATAGTTCCACTTCATATCAGTAAAACAAAGCTAAACCGAGAATGTACAATGACTTACTATCCTGGAGGTTAGTGTCAGCCACGCTGTTACAATGATCTCTTGCTGAAGCGACGTTTACGTAAGATGAGCAATGTGCCTACCGTAAAAAAATAATTTCCTTTTCTCATCTAATATTTAACAGTATTTACTTTTGGTAGCGTCTCGGCCAGATTGAAATTAATCCGTAAAACTACACGTTACATGACCACGCGTTAAATCTTAAATCAGGCAAATATAATAATTGTCACGCCATTTGCAACTCAATACATCGACAAACGGGAATCTCTTAGTTTAGCGGCATACGGCCACATCACGTTCAAACACAGGTTACCTTACGATCACCGAGGTTAAGCAACGTCGAGCTTGGTCAGTACCTAGATGAGTGACCACTTGGAAATACCAGGTGCTGTCATTTTGAATGTGCAATGGATAACAGCCATATGAACTTAAAACACCGGTTCTCGTACAATCTCCGAAGTTAAGCAAGGTTGAGCCTGTTCAGTACCTAGATGTAGTAAGTTTGGATGTGCGGTTGGTGTAATGGAGAATGGCCATATCACGTTGGACCACAACTTCCTTTACGATCATCGAAGTTAAGCAACGATGATTCTGGTCAGTAGCTAGATCACTGACCGTTGGCCAGGTGCTGCAAGCTTGGATGTGTGGGTAATGTAATAGGGAATGGTTATATCACGTTGAACCACAACTTCCTTTAAGATCATCGAAGTTAAGCAACGATGAGCCTTGTCAGTACCTAGATCACTGACCGTTTGCCAGGTGCTGTAAGCTTGGTCGTGCGGGTAATGTAATAGAGAATAGTCATATCACGTTGAAACACAAGTTTCTTTACGATCATCGAAGTTAAGCAATGATGAGTCTGGTCAGTACCTAGATCTCAGACTGTTTGCGAACACCAGGTGCTGTATGCTCAGATGTGCGGGTGGTGTAATGGATAATGGCAATATCATGTTGAACCATTGGTTCCTGTACGATCATCGAAGTTAAGCAACGATGATTCTGGTCAGATTGCTGACTGCTTGGGAATACCAGGTGCTCAGTATTGTTAATTAGTAAGAGTTGTATCACTAAACCATTACTATTTCCTAAACAGAACAACAAATCTTACAGTCTAAAGTATTTTATGGCTTGAAATAGGCTGAAAAAGGTTGATAAGCCGTAGAAAACGAATCTATCAATGAATCAATCTTAGTGTGGCTTCTCGTAGACCATTGACTAATTCCGTCAGAATATGAAACAATAATTTGTAATAATTCCAACTCCTATCGCATGTGTATTCAAAATGAATTTCATAATTATAGCATCTTCAATTAGTTAAAAGTTTGTGAGCTTGAAAACGGTAGCGACCGTCCTGGGTATGACGATAAACTACACCCGCGTCTTGGGTAAGACTATAAACTACATCTGACAGCAACGCCTCTGTTCAGGAGGTTTTGAGGAGCGTGGAACCACCTCTTAATTGTTGGTGTCTCCAGATCCACCCTGACCCGGAGTGGTAGCACCTGTTAGAGTCCCAGCTATGGGCAAATAGTTAACCCCCAAACTGAGGTTAAAAAACACTATGAAAGTGTAAAAATAGGTTTTAATACCAGCAATAATTTTTTTGAGGAAAAATTATTACCAGCAATGCATTTTTGAAGAAAAAAATTATATCATCACTGATATTTTTTTATCTCTTGCAGCCACAGTAGATGTGGTGTTTTCTTAGGCAACCCTATCCGGGCCGCTTTTGAATTCAGAGTTTTTCCATCATCTAGACCGGTTGCCACCTAAGGTTATAAAACTCCGTCTGTCCTGCTATTTACCCATATTTACCAAGAGGATTCATACCTTTCCCAAAGATATTAGCACGTAAGTGAATATCATGGATCTGAATGGAATTCGAACTAGGCTCTCCGATTCCTCAATCCGAGCCGCTATCCACTACTCCACATTACTCCGAGTAAATAGTGTTAATAAACAATCTAATAATCTAAACAATCTAATAAAGAGTTTAAATTATTATGATAATTATGATTTCGCAAAGTTAAAACAAAAACATTAAATCGTCACTGATATCAATGGGCATAAATAAAGCCCTCGTCCTTTTTACAGGCAAAAATAAATATAAGATCTACCAATATATTAATATGACCGCGATTCGATTTTGAGTAATGACATTGTTAACGGAAAAAAATCAAGTCGTATTTATGCTTGTAGCTTTTTTTTTTTAAAGTGAGGAATGGCTTTGTATGCAGCACTCACTGAACTTAGAATACATTTGCCCCAAAAGAAGAACGGGTCAACATAGTTGGAAGCAAACGTCATCTATATAATAAATGCGAATGTCAGTGTGTAAACTGTGTCACACTTTTTCAGTTAAAGGGACACAACACTCTAACTTTCAGTAGCTCATGTTACAGGAATTTTGGATTCCAAAGTTTTCATTACAGCGAATGTTTACGGCGATTCTTTTACGTGATTTTTTTGCAACGAATTTTTTGTAGTATAAAAATTTGTATAACTTGAAAATAAATTTGGAAATAATCGAAATTAATTGCGAAACCCAGCGTAAGTCACCCATGAAATAAAAATAATTGTTTGTACGGAAAATAAGGACCCAAAAACATCAAAATGTCTTTACTTTAAGCGGCGACAGAATGATTATCTTTGAACCTTTAAAAGATAAGCTTAAATATTAATGCAATACTTTTATTTTTATTTCTAAGTTTATTTCTATTTATTTTTATTTTTTCTTGCTGTTTTAATAATACTTTTTAATTTAAAATTAATATAATAATATAAAAGTTTAAAATTTATTTTGTATTTTATTTTATAATGTAAGGTAGATTTTGTTAAGTTGTATTACTTCTTAAAGTTTCCTTTTTTTACATTCTATGGATAATTTTATTTGAATATATGATTTCATATAAAATGCCATAAAATTCAAAATGTGGCATTGTTAAACAATGTATACATTTACGCCACATTACCGTTCAAATTTGAATTCTCTTATTCAACGTAATTTTGTTGGCTTAATTCGTATCAACATCTTTCAATATACGACCTTCTTAACTTTCCTCTTCCTGTGTATCTGTGTAATTTTGAATATACTTCTCTATTTCTTTTGCCTTTTTCTTTTTTTGTCTTTTTTCTTGGTAGTAGAGTTAATTTCTTATACTTTCTTTCCTCCTTCTTTTTCTTTTATTGATTTTGTCTTTCCTCTTTGATTTCTTATTTTCATTCTTTTTGTCTTTAGCCTTTTACGCAAAATTTTCCGAAAATGGAAATGAAGTGATGTTTCATTAATTGCAATTTTGAATAAGATTCTTTATTACCATTATTGTTAGCCACCTGAAGAGATGTTTTATTTTAAACGTTGAAACAAAATCTATAATTCTGTAGTGGATACTTACATAATCTAATATAATAGTGTATTATATATATATATATATATATATATATATATATATATATGTATGTGTGTGTGTGTGTGTGAAAAGTATGTGTATATAAATGTAAATATAAATATATAATTATTTATATATTATATGCGCGGTACTTATTAGAAAGCGCTCAATATCAGAGATAGAGCTAACATATTTGGTTGATTGATATGAGTTTGGGATCCTGGTTTTCACGCTTTTGCGATCGTTAGACTTGTCTGACGATCACAAACAAAAGCGTGAAACCCAAGGTCACAAACTCATATTAATCCAACCAAATAAATATATATATATATATATATATATATATATATATATATATATATATATATATATATGCCTGAATATCTGGAGTAAGGAGTTATCATTATTTACCCTATTTATCATATTTGTTGTTGTTAGCACAAGGTTTCGTTCGTTGTGCCCTACAGTCTTCCACGTGTGTATATTGATCTAGGCACACGACTACATTCCTATCTAGACGTCTATCACAATCCATTTAAACACACACACAAACTTACCAGACACCATCCGAAGTATACTAGTAGAAAATACAAACATCCACATGTAAAAAAGATTTAAAATAATGGAAACCTTAATAATAAAAAAGAAAAAGCCAACACTTAATAATATTAACTACGAACACGGCCACAATTTGGTGTGTTCAGAAAATAAAACATCTCTATAACACAAAAACATCCATACAATCCACACACCCAATTAAATTGAAAAAAGAATATCCTTGATAATGGCTAAGAGTATAGTCGAAATCGCTCGGAACTATAAAACATTTGAACAGTTTCTAGACACTCTGTGTCCCAAAAAGAAGGCAAGATTAATCCTAGTACCTTTTCTGTCGTCTTTAATGAAACATGTATAAATGAAGGATTGCTGCTTAAATACACAATATATATATATATATATATATATATACATATATATATATATATATATATATATATATATATATATATATATATATATATATATATATATATATATATATAGTTTATAGGGGAAGATTGCTACTATAATTTCGACGCCGCAAAAGTGATAGTTTTAAATTTTTTTTTCGTATCAGCAAAATGAGTTTTCACAACTCATCGCAACTTGAGCTTCAGGTTTCTCTTCCTCCCCATCCCACCCACTCTTCTTTACTTCCTTTACACATATTCATACACGGATTCTGATAACTTTAGGCTTGATATATATATATATATATATATATATATATATATATATATATATATATATATATATATGTGTGTGTGAATTTACATTGTGGTCAACAACCTGCAGTGACAATCTGTTTTATGCTGAACGCAATTTTTACGACTTGAAAATTGCGTTTGAGCATAAAACAGACTGTCTCCACAGGGTGTTGAACTGAGTGACCACTTTTAGAATTCCATACGCTCTATTCCTGATATTGAGCACTTTCACCTATAAATATAGTATGCCTTAAAACTATATATATAGGTAAAAATCCGTGGGTAAGTAATCCAAAAAGATCCTAATAATATAAAATATTAAAATTGATCAACAAATGAGAGCTCACTATGAATATAAATATCTGAATGGGGTAATAGAGTTTCATTTTTCACACACACACACACACACACACACACACACACACACACACACACACACACACACACACACACACACATGGTGCCTGGGCTGTCAGTTCCTAGGAACTGAACTGCTTAACTCTCATACGTCGAGAGAGTCCTCCATATATATATATATATATATATATATATATATATATATATATATATATATATATATATATATATATCAAAGGCTCAAACACTGAATTTGATCGTGATTACGATTCCAATGTAATAAATTATAACCATGGAGTATTAGTGTTTGAGCCTTTTATATTATACTAGCAGTAGAGCCCGGCGTTGCCCGGGGATGTAACAGTAAGAGATAGATCAAGTATCGACCATCATAAAGACTG